TCTCGAGGAACTGATCCTTGGATCGAATGGTTTACAAAGGGACCATCTTTATTCATGCAACCATGATGTAGCTTAACAAAGAACACACTATCATGTGACACATGGTTTAAGAAGATTGGGTATTTGAAACCATACTTGCTGAATAAATATTTGTTCAACAACAGGACCATAATGCAACTGCCTGATGAACGAAGCAATTATGTGTAGTCAGATTGACTGTTATTGTTTCATCATTTTCATTCTTCATATTTTTCTGTCTTATTGGAAATATCTGCTCAAGTCAATGATTTTTAACACATGATGATGTGGGCCTTCAGCATGCCCCAACATTAGCTAATACAAGTGTTCAAAATGCATCAACAGTCCTGATTCTGATTGAAGGGGTTTTCATCATGCCATAACCTTCGCTTCTTGTTAATTTGAGCCTTCAAAAATGCCCCATATGGATCTGTCTGAAAGAACCTTTAAAATGCCCCAACATTTGCTGATACAGATGTTAAAAGTGTGCTCAACATTACTTTTTTGTTAAGATGAGCCTTCAAAAATGCCCAAATATTCATACTGATGTGAGCCTTCAAAATGCCCCAATATTCTATTTCCGTTTGAAATGGGCTTTCAAGATGCCTCAATATTCTGCTTCTGATTTACTCTCAATGTCTGCTTAACTGAAATGTCATGATCCCCACGAGGTCCAATTTTGACAATGCATTGTTATGGGTACATGTGGATTTATTCGTGCCCCAAATCTGTTTATCTTGAATGCTCTCATTCTAGTGTCACTGAACATCAGTGTTGTCAAGTAACTGGAGGAATTTCCTTCATGTTGTCACAAACTTAAGAAGTGCTCAATCATTCTGACAGAAACATCTGAGATATGTACCTCTTATAAATGAGGTGCCCATTTTTGAATCTGGAGAGATCTTAATCGGATAGAGTAGTATAAATAGCTTGGTAATCCGTTCCAGGCTGACATAGTGAACCTTGTTTTCAATGAAGGCTATTTCTGGAATATACTTTTCTGAGGTCGAGAAACCAATTTATGTGAACAGTAATCTGATACAACAGCAAGACTACATATACAATGGTACAAGCTTTTGAAAAATCTGCATCCATGCAACATGTTGATTCTGATAACAACTCATCTGATTATGAAGTGATCTTTCAGGATGATTTCACAGATATTGATAGTTCTTCTGATATCGAGGAAATCCTGAATTCTGATTCTGATGAGGAGAATAAACTATTATACTTGACAAAAATGGGATTCTCAGAGGCTGAGGCTTCAATAGCCATGGAGAGATGTGGTCCATATTCATCAATTGCAGAGTTGACAGATTTTATATGTGCTGATCAAATGGCTAAGGCTGCTGACGTACTTCTTCCAGTAGAAGGTAGGAATTCATTATACAATGACCCCAATTACAAGCAAAGACGAAACTTGGGCTATGATTTTTGAAAAGGAAGAAGCAGAGGAAGCTTGAAAAGAAGCTTCTTAATGAAGACGATTATGCAGTTCATCTTTTAATTCCAATGATTGGTTTTGGGGTTCCTACCGAACCAGATCAGATAACTCAAAGAACACTTCCAGGAGATGCTATTGGGTCTCCTTATTTCTACTATGAGCAAATTCATCTTTCAAATCCAATGATTGGTTTTGGGGTTCATACCAAATCAGATCAGATAACTCAAAGAACACTTCCAGAAGATGATATTGGGTCTTCTTATTTCTACTATGAGCACATGGCACTTGCTCCAGTTAATGTTTGGACTGGAATATCATAGTACTTATTCGATGTAGAGCCAGAATTTGTAGATTCGAAGCATTTTCATGCTACTACACTGAAAATGGCTATATTCATAATTCTGTCAATTGAGAATAGATTTTCTCTTATTCTGCTTCCTCCATGTGCTGATGCTTTTCCATTGACAAAGAAATGATGGCCTTCCTGGGATCCAAGAACAAAGTTGAACTGTTTATAAATATGTACAAGAAGTGCCAAATTGACAAAAAGGATCTGTAAGGCTCTTGAAGCTTATGACAATGAGCCACCTTCGAGTGTCCAGAAGTATGTTCTTGATGAGTGCTGAAAATGGAATCTGGTATGGGTTGAAAAGAATAAAATTGTTCCACTTGAATCTGATGAGGTGGAAATGCTTCTAGGTTTCCCTAAAAACCATACACAAGGATCTGTATAGAGACATGTTCCATGGTGGTATCAATGTCCTGTCTCTTTTCTCTGGGATAAATGATGCAGAAGTTGCCTTTTACTGTCTTGGCATACTTTTGAAAATAGATGTGCAAGAACTGAATGATGATCAGTTGGAGCAATTGATGAGTAGATTTGTCGAATTCGACCTTGTTGTCGATGGCATCCAGTGTAATAACCTTACTAGAAGAAATAAACATCATCAGGATGAAATAGAAGATTTTTTGTTGGTGCATTTTCTTGCAATGACTACTATAACGACTGTCTTTCTAATGCTCCAAATATGTACTCTTTTCGCATCATGGAACGATTTAGTTGACAGTAAAACTGGTTATCTTCAACTTTTGGAATCATATAACCAATGTTACCCTATAAAAGGCCTATAAGGGTAGATTATGTTCCAATGTCTTATTCTGTGCCATAAGTCCTCAAATTCAAATTCAGCAATCTTCTGAAGGACATAATGGATATCATCTTGACAAAGAAAGTGATTGACATAGAAGAAGTAGCAATGATGTATCAAGACTTGAGCCAGCATCACGGTATAACCAGAGTGCAGGTAGTGACTTGTTCATAGTTCTATGATATAATCTTCTAGAGAACATGAATTGATGGTTGGGGAAAATAATCTGTCTGGTGATGCTTATCGCCCTCAGCATGAGATAAACGATAATCTTTCTTGATGGATTGCTAATAATATCATAGGAGAGTGTCACAAGTTTAATTCTCCAGACTTTCTGGCTTTTTGGACCACTTGCCTTCAAAAATGTGAAGTGCTTCATTATTATGGCCTCGTTCATTCTTTTTCTATAACAGAGATAGAACAGGCATCGACTTGCTTCAAGGACCTTTCTCATTTGAGACTGCCCTGTTTGAAAATGTTTTTTCCTCCTTTGTTTATTGAAGAATGAAAGAATTTTACAAAGTATTGCCCTTCTCAGGTTCACAATAGAATCAGATCATAAACAATGAGTTTAATAAATATCAAATAAATCAACTACACTTTTAAATCATTCAAAAATCATAGTCATATGGCAAGTGTCAAATTTATTGACTGATTTGAGGTGTAGGTTGATTCTGGTAAAGTAAGGTCTCTTAGGTTCTCAGGTTAGTCCAGCATATATGTCTCTTTGGGCTTCCATTAATTTGAAGAAATGGTTGTTATACTCATATTGTAAAGATGCTTATCGTTTCCAGACTCTCATGAACGTCTTTGGGATGTGCGGTGTTTCATTAAGATCGTCTCTTATGTCATTGTTGCACCATTCATTATTCGAGCCGCCTTTTTTAGGTTTTCAACTCGAATCCTCCTTTGGTTTCAAGATGTTATTTAAAAATTTACATCTTGAACCCCCCCTTTATCATTTTTCATATCATGCATTAAAGATTTTAAAAACCAATTTTTACAAATAAAAATCAATCTTGGAAGGCGGAATGAATTCTAAAAATATCATCTTTTACTTAGAAATCCATGTATGATTAGAATGGACTTTTCAGGTACGTAACGTAGGCCATGGCTTATGGTTACGAAAGAAAGGGATAAAAAGGCCCAAATAAGTGTTTAAGGGTAATCAAACCAATGATCAATTCATTCTGATGCCATCAATCTTGCCTTGCTTAACTTGGATCTGCTTTGTTGGGGATTTTTCCATCATTTGGATCCCTCTAGACTGCCAAATTTTGGATTCATTTCCAATTTCTTATATCTTCAGCATTTCTTGCTCTTCTTGTTCGTACTTGATCAACCTTGTAACTTGAGGCTCAATAAGTTACCCATCTTGATTCAATTTTCCTTTTTCGTCTTTTTTTTTTCTTCTTTCTTTGTTGGATGAGTATAATACTTCAATTGCTTTGAGCACCTCCTTTTCCTTTTGCATTTTGGAGGTTTTCCATTATTCTTGATTGGATTGATCATGGTATTTTACCTTAAGCATATAAATATACAGATAAGGACTAAAATGGAATAAAATAAAATTCGAATATAATATTAATATGTTCATAAATTGATTTCAGTGGCTAAAATGAAAGTTTATAAACTTCAGGTGACTGTGCGTGTAGTTTAACTATTTTGAAATTACACCCAGACCCCTCATTAAAACGACGCCGTTTTGATGAGGGTATAAATAGCCTAAAAACTGGCTCCCTTGAGCCATTTCTTTCATTTTTCCATTTTAGCTTCTCTCTCTAAAAGAGAAAAAAAAAAATTCTCTCCCTTCCTCTCTAGAGCCTCCGGCCGAAGGGAGCTATGGCTCCGGTCACCACCGCCGGCCATCGCATACGGTGGCCGGAAAATACAAAATCTCCTCAAAATATAGATCGGACCATTCTAAAACCGATTCCGACCCCGTTCTCCCTACAAACCTTTAATTTACGTAGATCTAAAAAATACCTTCCGGTATTTTGATTCTTTTCGCGGTGTAGGGAGGCTCCGACGAGGTAAGTTCCCTCTATCTCTTCTCTTCTTTTCGTTGTTGGTCGTTGTTGCTTGCTCTCGTTGCTTGCTCGTTGTTTTGGTGGTTGTTTTTCTTTTTTTTGATTTTGCAGATTTGGTGGCTTTATAGCCACCACCAAGGCTCGCTATGGACCAATTAATAGGGCGATTTTCCGGTGAGTCACCAAATTATGGTGGTGACTCACCCTATAGCTTCAACGTGGAAGGGCAGCTGGCTTCTGGAAGCTGCTGGAAAGGGTGCTGTAGTAGAGCTGAAACATGGAGGGGCTGCTGCAGTTAGAAGCTGCTGGAATTTACAACGTGGAGGGGCTGCTGCAGCTAAAAATTTAGTGTCTACACACCTCATTATCCCTCTTTACACAAGCTAAAATTGGAAAGAGCATCTCCACAGAGATGTCTTCACTTTCTTCCAGTACAAGGGTCATGATAGTCGCCGTCGATGCAAAGATGGTCTCTGGTTGATGATCCCTGAATAAACAAGAAGAATCATGAGGACAATAATGGTTTAGAATGCATGCTCTGCATAGCATAGTAAGCCACACAAGCAGTTAGAAAATTAACCTTATTAACTTAAGGAAATGCTGGAATATTTCGATGATTAGGGCGTTGCATTCGAGATCCAACATCACCACACATAATCGGACTTCGGCAACAGTTTCAAGAACCAAGATCCTCTTATTGAATGATCGGCTGGACTTGTCGGACAAGCTTTCAAACGTTGATACAATCAGTTGAAAGACCTCCTGCATACATGTCAATAGAGGTCAATACTTCAAGTGCAGAAAACTATTCAAAAAAATGATCAGTATCTGCAGAAGCATCCAGGAACAAGGATATTAAATACCCTCATCTGGTCATCATCATAAGGGGCATCAGGTGCAGTTATCCTTGTTATCTCGACGATGCAAGCCGCAACTGCAACTTTGACATCATTATCAGGATGTTTCAAAAGTTGCTCTGCCACCAAGGCTTTGAGTGCTAGATACTGTGCATTTTGCATTGATTGGCTTGGTGATTGTTCCACCATTGAAAGACAACTCTCAACTTTCTAGAAGTACAGAGGAGAGGAAACACTCATCATCGACATAAAATGTATCCAATAACTAGAACTAGTACAAGGTATAATGAAATATCATAAATCAAAGCCTAATAATAAGAAAAGGCATTAAAGCCTAAAGGGAAAGAGTAATTAGGGCAGACATCAAGATAAAAAGTAGCCATTAACAAGCACTAGTATAAGGCATAATGAAATATCATAAATCAAAGTTTAATAATAAGAAAAGGGAAAGAGTAATTAGGGCATAAGTCAAGGAGAGAATGAGCTCATCAACTGATGAAGGAGGCTCAAAGAGCCGAGTCCCAGCCTCCATTAATTGAAGCTCAAGCTTGTTATCAGATGCTTCCATAGCTTTATCAATAAGCAATCAAGAACAGTTTTAAAGAAGTACCTGATATTTTATTCAAAGATATAAAAATTGTCTTACTCAGATAGAAAAGGGTACCTCCTTATAAGATAAAGGTTTAGATATGTGAAAGCACAACAAATGAAGAAGGGAAGCTTTTTCAACTAGCCGCTCTTCAGTCTCCCACTCCCCCTCCCCCTCCCCAAACCCAACAGCCCCACCAAAAAAAAGAAAAAGAAAAAAAAGAGTTTATTGCGTTTTCTATATATAAGTTTAACTTTTTCTTCTATGGTTTTGCATCATCGACTTTAATAGTGATTTTCGATCGTCGATTTTCTTTTTTTTAATTTATTTTTTAATTTTTTAAGAATAAAAATTTTACATTTGTGACATGTTTATTTATGTTTTTATAATACATTTTAAGTCTTTGTTACGCGTTTTTTTATCTTTTTTATCGTTTGATCGTTTTTCTATTTTCTATTTTCTCATTGTTAGATTTTATGACATCAATATTGATCAAGATGTCGTTTTATTTGTAATTCAGTTGATCTTCCCTGCTATAGATCATCGGATTGAATTTCGATGCATGATTTTGATATCGTGAATAATTTTTCACGACGCTAGACTCTGATTTGCGATTCTCAATGGTCTTTCAATAACTTAATATCCTCTTGTGGTTCGTTTATCGATGTAGTCAGATTTACTTGTATCTATTTTTTTGAGTTTTTGAGTTAGGTTTTTAATCTTTTCCATGTATGTCATTATATGATCTATTGTGACCAATTCAATGTTATAGGAAAATGTCTAAATTATGTATTTATTTTACGGTGATAATGTAAATTCTTATTGTAATTTTAGATATTCTATTTTTAATAAAAAAATAAAGAAAGAAAGAAAATATATTTTAACAACTTCAAATTTTAAAAATTAAATATTTGTTGATATTAATAAAGAACAAATGGATTACTAAAAAAATATTTGTTGATGTTAATAAGAACAAATGAATTACGATCATTATAAGCGATTTATCTTTATTGTATAGAAAAAAATATATTAATTGGGTTAAATTAGCGTGTGTGGTTTAAAAAAGAAATGAATTATAAACAACCACCTAAGTTAAACTAGTAGCATATCCAAGCACAATCTTATATAGGGGTGAGCAACATCGGGTACCCGCTTATTTTTTTGGGAACCGTAACTTGTTGCATTGGTTCCTAAAAAATGGGAACCGAAATCAGAACTTGTTCAACCGGTTCCTAAAAATTGGGATCCAGAACCGGAACCTGTAGATATTGATATTGGTTCCGGGTACCCTGTTATTTTGACAGTTTTCTCATTCAACCTGTTGATTGTTACACATTAAGTGGGATGATATGTCGCCTCCAAGTTAAAATTGGCCCTTTTATAACCTGTTAATATTTTAAACTAAAATGCTACTACTTATCACAAGTAGAACTCTTTTCTATACAAAATTTATCCACCATTTCATACTTAAATAGTAATAAAAACACTAACCCAAAGTACATATTACGAAAACGCAAAGTTAGAAATCAATTACAACAAGTTTAATCCAAATTCAAAAGTATAGGTCACAAAATGCATAAAGTCGCAAAAAGTCCAAACCAAGTACGTTTACAACTAAAAGATATTACACAATATTTGCAATTTCATCACAATTTTTGCTCCATTCTCAAACTTTGATGCGGTGATGTCCTTGATGCTCTCCTGACTCCTAGCACAATATTAGATATATATTTTGAAATACATGACTATATTCTAGAATATGCAGTGACGTATGTATGTTCTGTTGATGTGAGCGTTGTGTGTGTGAGTGAGTTGTTATAGCTGTTAAGAAATATTAGATTCTGTTATGAGTTTGTTATAGAGGTTGAGTACACTTGAAGTTACAGCTTCTATATAAGCTGGTTGTAACGTAGTTAACAATGAGCTTAACTTAATGAATGTTATAAGAGGTTATTCATTCAATTATATCTTCTCAACATGGTATCTTTTGCCAAAGTCCTGAGAATTTTGGTTTCACGCTTCTAAACTTTCTTTCTCTCAGTTACTTCAAGAAAAGAAAATGACGAAGTGTTACACAACTGTGACCGAGGAATGCCAGAAGGCAGTTGAAAAGGCTAAGAGGAAGCTCAGAGGTCTAATCACTGAGAAGAACTGTGCTCCGCTCATGCTCCGTCTGGCGTGGCACTCAGTTGGGACTTTCAATGTTAAGATCAAGACTGGAGGTCCATTCGGAACCATTAAACAGCCTGCTGAGCTTGCACACGGTGCTAACAACGACCTTGATATCACCGTCAGACTTCTCGAGCCGATTAAAGAGCAGTTCCCCATCCTTTTCTACGCTGACTTCTATCAGCTTACTGGTGTTACCAAACTCTCCAGTCAGATGCCTCTTCAAGAATGTAGTCTTTCCAGTGCCTCTATCGCCAATGATGACGGGCTTGAAGCTAGGATAATCAACAGTCTGTTGGTTAGGTAAAGCCATTGATTACGAAACTCGAAATGTGGTATGAGAAAAATAATAAATTTCTGCGTTTGTTTGGCATTGTTGTTATATAATAGTTTTTTTTAGAATTTTTGTTGAATGTTCATTCACATCAAAAGTTTGCATCGATTCAAGTCGAACGGAAGGAAGCATCGACACTTCCGATTCAAGTTTGTTAGGATTTTTGGAAGCTCGAATCGACAATCGGAACGGTTTACAAAGAGGGGTCGTAACGGTTTTGTGTTTAGGGAGTAAGGAGATTGAAAGATAGAGAATTACACAACGATTTATAGTGGTTCGACTTTCTCAACCAAAGCCTACGTCCACTACCTTAGCTCCTCACCAAGGATTTTCCAACAAATTCACTAATTTGTTCTTTCTTTTGATGATAAAGAGTAACCTTACAAACTCCCTAGTTTTTCTGGGCTAAATTTGAACCTTTCCCTAGCTTTTACACGAGAGCTAGAACCTTTCCCCTTTACAAAATGATAAGAAATGTAAACAAGAAAACCTCTCTAATGTAGGTGTTTACAAGATTGAGCTCACAAGAACAAAATATATACAAGAGAAAGATGAAATAAGAATGAAAAACTCTTCTCTTGTGTTTGATTGCTTGGATAGTTGTTCTCTTACTTCTTCAAGTGTCCTTAGCTTGTATTTATAGCTTGGAATGTGTTTGAAGTCATATCTAGCCGTTGGGGATGTTTTGGAGCCGATTGAGAATGATTTTTCTACAAAAATAGGCTGCCCAGAATGGGGGGAATCGGTACCCCTTCATAGGGAATCGATACCCCTTCATAATATTCAAATATTATGACCGTTGGGCTGATGAACAGTGATGGAATCGGTACCCTCAAGGGGGAATCGGTTCCCTTCGAGTAATCTATTATTTCTCGGAGCCAAACCATGTAGGGGGAATCTGTACCCCCTGGACAATCTGATTTTTCTTGAAACCCTTTAAAAAAAGAATATTTTTAGCTCGATTAAGGCTCGAAATACTTTGTAAAATTGTTTTAAAATAGTTTAAGTATAAAACACAATTTTACACTTTAGTAAGGATTAAAATGAACTTTGAAAGACTTGGAGTAATATTTTGATATTCGAATAATTACATCGAATATACTTAGAAAGTCTTTTGTAAAATCTTAAAATTCATTTAACTTAATTTGTTATATCGAAAAATCAAAATATTTTCAACAATCTCCCCCTTTTTGATATAACAAAACATTTGAGTAATTTTAAGATTTTTAAATAAAGTTTGAAATTACTCCCTCTTACTTTAACACTTTTCCCCTTTAACATCAAAGCTATGACGGATAGATTTTCTGTGATTGTCAAAGGTCTCAAGGGATATGGAGAAATAATACCTAATGAGAAGCTTGTGAGGAAGATGATCTACTCTCTTCCGAAGGAGTGGCAATCGAAGAAGACGACCATTATCGAAGCAAGAAACTTAAAGTCTCTCACTCTCGACGAGCTAATTGGTTCCCTTCTCACTCATGAGATGATAGTGATGAGGTGGATGAAGACGATGATGAACAAGAAGAAGAAGTTTGGTTGTTTTAAAAAAATTCAATTTCTTAATGATTAAACAATTGGCATCAGAGCCTAACTCGTTAAGAAGGTTTAACCACCTTGAGACGATCCTAGAAGAAGCTCTACCAATTCCCTACACAACCGAGAAGATGGCTTCCACATCCGGCTCGTTCCACATGGAAGACTCCCTACCAACCGACAAACCTCCATACTTCAATGGAGTCAACTATCATCATTGGAAGAAATTAATGAAGGTATTCATCCAATCCAATGTTCTTGATGTATGGGAGATAATCGAGAATGGCTACTTTTCTCCAAAGAAGAAGGAGAAGAAGCGGAGTGACAAAGAACGGAAGAAAGCTCAACTTAATGCCAAGGCCATGCACATGTTGTTTTGTGCATTTGGTCCTGAAATCTATGAAGGGGTTTCTTCATGTTCAAGTGCCAAGGAGCTTTGGAATAAGCTCGAGGAAATCCATGGAAACAAGAAAGAAGAACCAACAAAGGTGGTGTCTCTAATGGCTAATGAAGAGCCCGAGGTATCTTCTAACTCAAATGAATTTAATTCATATACGTTTGATGAGTTACAAGATACTTTTAATAGGTTAAATTCGGAGTTTGAGACCATGAACTCCAAATATAAGAAAATGATTTCAAAATTTAAATTTGAAAACGATTTTCTTTTGAAAACAAAAATAAATTTTGAAAGCCAAAATGAAATTTTGAAAAAGGATTTAGAGCTTTCAAAAATAAAAATTGATAGTTTTGAAAAACAAATTTTTGATTTAAAAGTTAAGCTTGAATGCTTAACAAAAGAAAAAGAAATCATTTTAAATAATTTATTTAGTTCAATAATGACAATATGCTCACATTGTCATTATCATGGTCATTTGGAACATACTTGTCCTTTGAAGAAAGGAAAACGTTTTAAAATTAGGCAAGTATGGGTTCCGAAAGGAACAAGGGGCAT